CACGGGGTCTGCCAGCCCCAAAGCCAGCAGGGCGGGGACACTCCCATGCTCTTCTCTGACCTCAGCTCTGCCAGCTTCCTACCTCCAGCTCCCCCCGAGGCGGGCCTCCCTCGCCCTCCGCACGGCAGCAGGAGAGGCCAGCCCCCCCCCCCCGCCCCGGGCCACCCGTCTGGTCCTCTGCGTTGCCGCAGTGAGTGACACCGGCTTTCTCAGATAAACCCCTTACAGCAGCTAGCGCCTGGGGGGCACCCCCGTGCCACGTGGCCGTCCACAAGCACCTGACAAACGAGGCCCCGCAGCCCCCACCCCTCACAGCCGCCGCTGGCAGCCTGCGGATCCCCCGCCACGCACACAGATGCCTCATTTCCAGGGCCCATGTCCTGTGTCTCCGGGCTGGCTCGCCGCGTGTTGGCTCGTAAGCCCCTGGGGAGCTTCCCGGGTGTCATCTGACCCTGACCCGCCCTCGGAAGGCAGGGAGAGGGTGAAGGAGGAAACCGCGGCTCAGCGATAATTAGCAAGGGCACTGCCACAGCCTTGTCTTGGACGAGGACAACCCCACGCGCGCGCTCTACATCTTAAAAGTTGATAAGGAGCGTTAACCGGGTCAGTCACATAAATGGTGCATGTCTTCTTCTTCTTAATATTCTATTTACTTATTTGTCAGAGACAAAGAATGGCAGGCTGAGGGAGAAGCAGGTTCCCCGCTGAGCAGGGAGCCCGATGCAGGGCTCGAGCCCAGCACGCTGGGATCATGCCTGGAGCCAAAGGCACCCGCCTAGCCCACGGAGCCCCCGGGCGCCCCGGTGCAGGTGTCTCGCTCTCTGGGGGCAGGGGCATCCACGGCCGGGGGTGGGGCGGCCCGAGGCTCCCCAGTGGCCAGCGTCCAGCTCACACGTCAGCCGGAAGTCCTGTCTTCTCGATGACCTTCCACCACATTCCGGAGAGGGACGTGCGGCGGAAAGTGCAGACAACTCACGGTCGGTGGATTATGCCGTAGCTCAGGAGACGATAGGTGCGCTGGAAACGAAGTTTTGAAATAATCGGGCGGGGTCGGGGGGCTGGAAGCGGCCGAGCGAGCGGCCGGGCAGCTGCGCTTCGCGCGGCGCGGTCCGGTCGGCCTCCTGAGGAGGGACAGTCGGGTGACGTAGGCGCGTGGCCGTCGGGCCGAGGCGAGGAGCCGGCACCAAGGGCCCGAGACCAGCGCGCCCGGACCGCGGCGGCTGGAGCAGAGCGAGCGGCACGGGCGCGAAAGGGGAAGGCGCGGGGGCGGGCTCAGTGGGCGGAGCCTCTGCCTTCGGCTCAGGTCACGACGCAGCGTCCTGGGATCGAGCCCCGCATCCGGCTCCCTGCTCAGCAAGGAGCCTGCTTCGCCCTCTGCCTGCCTCCCAGCTTGTGCTCTCTCTCTCAAATAAATAAGAAAAATCGTAGAAAGAGAAAATTAAACCAATAAACTTAAAAAAAAAAAGGTCTTGGGCCCAAGCAGCTGGAGGAATGGGGTTTCTAGCAGCGCCGAGAAGAGCAGATGCCGCACGTATGACAGGGCGAGGCGCGGGAAGGCAGAGATTCTAGCTCTGCTGATTGGACATGCCTCAGAGACATCTTTTTAAGATGTTATTCTTTTTTTTTTTTTTTTTATTTTTTTTTTTTTTTTTTTTTTTAAGATTTTATTTATTTATTTGTCAGAGAGAGAGAGGAGCGAGAGCAAGCATAGGCAGAGAGGCAGGCAGAGGAAGAGGGAGAAGCAGGCTCCCCGCTAAGCAAGGAGCCCAATGTGAGACTCGATCCCAGGACGCTGGGATCATGACCTGAGCTGAAGGCAGCTGCTTAACCAACTGAGCCACCCAGGCGTCCCTTAAGATGTTATTCTTAAGCAAGCGCTATCCCGCCCAGGGAGCCGGAACGCATGGGGTGCAGCGCTGCTCCCCCGGCGGAGCCAGCCCGCTGGCCCTGCTACGGGGCACTTCACCCGAGAGGCCCAGCGTGCAGATAAAGAAACGAACCTGGGGCTTAGGCGTAAGGTGTGCGCCGGAGGCGTGCACGGGGTCGTCGGCACAGCCGCGGCGCTCAGAGCCGCGGTGCCGGGCGAGACAGAGCAACGGGCCGGCGCAGCGGAGACCGCGGAGCCCGGAAGCACGTCCGTCCGAAGCGGCTGCGCCCACGTGACGGCGAGTTTTGTGTGTCAAGTTGACTGGCCCCAGGGGTGCCCAGATGCAGCGTTGTTCGTGTGCGAGGGGTGACGGTGTCTCCAACTGACAGGAGCCCTTGAACCCCGCCCAGCGCGGGGGGCATCGCTCAGTCCTGTAGGGCCTGAGTAGAGCAAAGAGCTGGAGGAAGGAGGAATCCACCCCGTGCCTGCTGCTGGCCTGCTTGAGCAGGGACCCGTCGTCCCTGGGGTTTATGCCCTCGGCTTCCCCGGTTCTCTCCTCGGACTCCGACCGAATTACACCACCGGACTCCCGGGCCTCCAGCTTCCAGAAGGCAGACCGTGGGACTTCCCAGCTTCTACCATTGGCGTGAATCAGTTCCTCACACTAAATCTCGTCCCATATCTCCATGCGCATCTCCGGCGGGTTCTGTTTCTCTGGAGAAGCGGAGCGGCTCGGGCGGGAGGAGGAGCTCGGGAACGCGGGAGGAGCGGTCAGCCAGGCAGGCGAGTATCTTGGACCCCACGTCCAGAACGACTCCCTTCCTCCCTCCTTCACTCACACTCTTCTTCCGTCCCAAAGCCAGAGGCAGGAGCTGGCAGAGGGAAAGAAAAGGCGCCAGGGGCTGGTCCGTGTGAGGACCGGCCTCACCAGCAGAGACGGGGTGGGCTGTCTTCTCAGCCGAAGCTCGCTCTCCGTCTCCCGCGCGTCCTTCAGACGCCGGCGGCTACAGGCGCTCACAACGGTGAGTGAGCTCAGGCGTTCCTACTTCTGGGTTTCTCGTCTTTAAGAATCTGGTATCAGTGGGGTGCAGTGGTGACATCCAGTTGGTACGGACTGAATGGTATGTCGCCCCCAGGTTCGTGTGTCCAAGTTTTAACCCCTAGTACCTCAGAAGGGGACTCTTTTGAGATAGGACCTTTAAAGAGGTAATTGCAGTAAAATTGGGTCACTGGGGTGGGCCCTAATCCAATCTGACTGCTGTTCTTCAAAAAGAGGAAATTAGGGCACAGAGGCACGCAGAAGGAGGGCCCTGTGGAGAGTCAGGGAGGAGGCAACCATCTACAAGCCAAGAAGGGAGGCCTCAGAAGACACACCTCGATCTCAGCCTCCAGAACCTGAGAGAATAGATTGCCGTGGTTTCAGCCGCCGCGTCCGTGGCCTTTGTCATGGTGGCCCCAGCAGATGAACACACCCATGGCGAGACTCACCTCCTTCCTGCTCACGCTTGGTGCGCGTCGCCCCTATAAGGCCTGACTCTCGAGGGAGTAGGAAACGTTCCATTCTGCGTTTTGCTTTCCGAAGCACACTCTTTAGGACTCACGACAGAGAGAGACTTGTCTTTAAAGTCAAGGTTTTGACGTTGAAGTGCTGGTTCTCTTGGAAATCAAAAGGCCGAGGGAGGCCTGGTCCCAAGACCAAGATTTGAGAAGATAACAGGAAAAGGGCCCGACTGTGGCATCCCTGCAGTTGCATAATGTCTGGGGGAGGCCAGGGAAAAGGAGAGAAAAAGAGAGCGTAGGTTCTGGAGAGTTCTTATCAAAGCAGACGGTTTGGGGCATGAAAAGGCAGAAGCTTCCAGGTTAAGCCTGGGTAGGTGGCCGAGTTCTAAGGGAAGTGGCCTGCGTGCCAGCAGAGGGGCAGAAGGGGACCCGAGACCGATCTAGGGGAGAGGGCCTGAGCACCCCGAGTTTCCTCTGGTGCACATAACCTCCTGAAGAGACATAGAAAAGGCTGGGACAAAGCAACAGCCTGCCGGAGCTGGCCTCGGGGGACACGGCCATCACACGCAGCCGTCACACGCGGCGGTCACATGTGGAGACGAGTGTGTCAGCGGCCAGTACTGGAGCTGCACGGTGACTGAGACCCGGCAGGACAAGAATCGGCCTGGATGCCTCTCCCTGCTCGCCCGAGGGCCCTGGCCTCTCTGGAGCATGGAGGCCACCTGGAGGAGCTGGGGGACGAGGAGTGACCTGAACTGACTGAAAGCACGTTAATGGGACAGAGGCCAAGCTGGATTGGCCAGGTGAAGTGTTGTCCCACTCGGGGCAAGGGCACCTCAAGGTCACAAGTTCAGTTACTTAAAAGCCAACAGGGGACCGTCTGCTCACGTGGGTTGTAGTTTAGGAACCGATGCCCATGACTGCCAGTAAGAGCCGACACAGACCCCAGGCTGCTGGGGAAGGAGAAGATGGCTTGGGAGGGACGTAGAGCCCAGGAGATGGGGGCAGAGGGGCAGGTTCCATTGTTGGCCTGGTGTCATCCGGGGCCACACGGTAAAGCCACCTCTCAGTCACACACACACACACACACACGCACTGCGAGTGTCCAGCTGGCACAGCTCCCATCCCGAGGGATTTCAGATGCCGGAACCCGGGCTCTTCTCCTAAGCAAAACAGGCCGCGAGGGTCAAGGAGGACAAGCTGTGAGGTGGCTTTATTTCTCGGGGCCAAGGTTATGGGGCGCCGCAGCGACGCCGCGTGAAGCGCAACCCCCCCCACCCCCCCACCCCTCCACCGCCCCCCCACCCCCACCCCCACCCCCCGCCGCGCGCGTGGCCACAAGACCCTCTGGTCTGTCCTCCGGCTGCGGCCGGCGGGAACCAGGCAGCAGGCAGGGGACGACCCGGGTGCCCGGCGGGCGGGCTGTCTGGCGCGAGCCCTTCCCCCCCACACACCCGTTTTGGCCGGCGAGGCCGTTCAGAAGGGCCCTGGGGTTTGCATGGAGGCGGCCGGGCTTCCCCGCCCCCGCCGCGGGCGCCGCAGATCGCGCTCGGAGAGCCGGGCCGGGCCGCCGCGCACCGTGGGGCGTCCGAGCCTCGACGGCCGCGCCCGGGGTCCGCGGTGCGGCGGCGGCTCAGCCCCGGGAGAGCCGGGCGTCGTAGGCGACCATGGGGACGCTGTCCCAGGCGAAGAGGCGCCGCTCCCCGGGTTGTAGTCCGGCGCGCCGCAGTGCCCGGAGCGGACCCGCAGCGGCCCGCGCACCGCCTTGCTGCGCCCCGTGGCCGGGTCGTAGGCGAAGTTGACGGCGGCCTCGGGCGACGAGTAGCTGCTGACCGTGTAGAGGCGGCCGCACCCGGGAAGGCGGTGGCCACCGCGCGCTTCCGGATGTTCGTCTCCCACGTGCGCTCCGGGGCCAGGCTCTCGGGGCTCAGCTTGGACAGGACGATGGCGCCCCGGCCGCGCGCGTGCTGTAGATGACCCACAGCCCCGTCTCGTCCACCGCCAGGTCGATGTCCGTGTAGCCGCCCCACGAGTACGGGAACCGCCCGCGGAAGCCGGCGCCCGGCAGCTCCCTCTCGGCCCGCACCGTCTCGGAGGCCAGGGCGCAGCGCACCAGCGTGGCCGACCCCGCGGCCTGGAAGTAGAGGCTGCCCGCGTAGACCACGGCGCCGGTGCGCTCCAGCGGCCGCGGCAGCACGTGCACCCTGGAGGGGTGGCCCTGCAGGAACTGGGCGGCGCGGTCCTACTCCAACACCTGCCGGACGTCGGTGCCCACCGTGGCCACTCTCCACGTGGTCTCCGCCGTGTGTGGGGGCCGGGGCTTCGGGTCTCGCATCCACACGCCGTACTTGCCCGCGGCCGTCTCGGCTCTGCGCAGGGTGAGCGGCTCGCCCACCCAGACCAGCTCTCCGCAGCCTGCGGGACGCAACACGCGCACGACCCGGGCCGCTCTGCCACCGTCCGTGCGCCCGCGGCCGCGCGCCCGAGCCCGCGCAAGCCACAGCCCGGGAGACGGGGCGCCAGGGTCAGGTCGGGCTCTGCCCTCCCCGGCAGGGTGCCGTTCGGGTCCCTCAGCCCCTCGACCCTGGCGTGGTCGTTGGTACACAGGGACAGTGTTTCGGGTAGGTATGTTGTAGATGTTAAACGTGATCACACATGTTAGGCACCTGGTAGAGAGTAAATGGCCTGGGAAGTATCAGTGATAATGTCCCCCGGTGTCTGCTGTAAAGAGGAAGGCTGCACGGAGGGCCTCCACATGTATTCCTAATATCTGATTGACGCGGGGCAGAAACTCACGGGTGTCTGTTATACTACTCTTTACTTTCATGTCTGATTAAATTCATTTTTTAAAAATGAAATGGGGGGGCGTCGGGGTGGCTCAGGGGGTTAAGCCTCTGCCTTGGCTCAGGTCATGATCTCAGGGTCCTGGGATGGAGCCCCGCATCCGGCTCTCTGCTCAGCGGGGAGCTCTGTCTGCATCTCTGCCTGCTTGTGATCTCTGTCTGTCAAATAAATAAGTAAACAAATCTCTTTTTTAAAATATTTTATTTATTTATTTGTTAGAGAGAGGGAGAGACAGAGCACAAGCACAGGCAGGCAGAGTGGCAGGCAGAGGCAGAGGGAGAAGCAGGCTCCCGGCTGAGCAAGGAGCCCCACGCAGGACTGGATCCCAGGACCCTGAGAGCACTACCCGAGCTGAAGGCAGCCGCCCAACCCACTGAGCCACCCAGGCGTCCCGGTAAATAAATCTTAAAAAAAAAAAAAAAAAAGAAAAGAAAAGAAAAGAAAGAAAAGAAACAGGGGCACCTGGGTGACTCAGTCAGTTGGGCAGCTGCCTTCAGCTCAGATCTTGATCTCATGGTTCTGGGATCCAGCCCCAGCTCCATGCGGGGCTCCTTGCTCAGCAGGGAGCCTGCTTCTCCCTCTCCCTCTGCCCCCTTCCCCCTATTTGTGTGCACTCTCTCTCTCTCTCTCTCTCAAATAAATAAATAAATAAATAAGATCTTTAAAAAATTAATAAAAATGAAACAAAACTCAAGTCATTATAATAAACTCTGTAAAACCAGGTGCCTATGTGGCTCAGTTGGTTAAGTGACTACTTTTGGCTCAGGTCATGATCCTGGAGTCCCAGGATCGAGTCCCACATCAGGCTCCCTGCTCAACAGGGAGGAGAAGTCCCTGTTTCTCTCTCTGACCTTCTCCCTTCTCATGCTCTCTCTCTCAAACAAACGAACGAACAAAAAAAAAAAAAAAAAAAAAAAGAAAGAAAGAAAAGAAAAGAAAAAACTCTGTAAAACAAAGTTCTTCAAGCCTGAACTGATGGACCACATAGTTTAGGGGTCATTTTAATACAATAAAACCCAAACATACTTTTTAAAATGTGATGAATCGATGGTTGAAGATGTAGACTTAGCTGACACAGACAAGCAGCCATCTGTGCTTTTTTCACTCTCCGTGTAAAGGGTGGGAAGTCTTTGCTGCTCGGGTCTCAGAGAACCGTATTTGGAAAACTTTAAAACGTCCCCATCGCCGTGCAAGCGCCTGTGCTGGAAGTAATTTCCAGAAACACGGGTAGTCACAGCTTCTGAAAGAGCCTGCCTTAAGTCCGGCTTTCAGGGAACACTTTGGAGAGGGGCAGCTGTACTTCTCAGTACCCACAGTTCAGAAAAGACACTTCTGCTGAGTATCTGCTAACTGTGTGCTGAGAGGGTTTATGGGGTCATCGGGCCTGAAGAAAAAGAAAGATCTGAAGGACCCGCTGAACAGTGCAATGAACTTCTAGGTGGCAGTCAAGGGGGTGAGATTCACCTCTCTCTCCTCCTCCCCCAGCGCAGCCCATCTGGGCCCACCATCCCCTCGGGGGCAGCGAGTGAGATCTAGGGCTTTGCTAGGAAAGGCTGACTTCCTGCGGGGGTTCTCTGGGAAGGGAGCAGAGAGGGGCTCTTCCTCTCCCACTTCCTGCCTCACTGCCAGAGCTGACTGACGGTTCGCCCTCCCCGCACAGCGACTGACCAGCTCTGAACACAGAACAGGCCCAGATAAAGACCGTGTGTGTACAAAAGGGAAGACATTTAACTTCGTACCAGGGTCTCCCTCCTCATTCCCAGGATGGCCAGATGGACTCTCCTTCAGGATTCGGGAAGCAGGAACCTCAGTTAACTCTGACTTCAGCTCCTGGAAGTTCGCGGTCTCCGCATTCCATTTAGGAACTGTATTAAAAGAAAGAGACAAATTTATAGTATGACGAAAATGGCCCAATGACTACACTGAGGATGGTATTTAAATAGGTTCCCACAGACATGACAGTGTTTGGGATTTAAGACAATGAATATGTAGCGGTGTCTGGATGGTTCTGTCCAAAGAGCATGTGACTCTTGATCTTGGAGTCGTGAGTTCGAGACCCATGTTGGGTGTAGAGATGAATTACACAAACAAAACTTTAAAAAAGGCTTTTAAAAAGATAATAAATCTGTAGTGTTGAGGGTGGAGCTAAAACACGGTGGATTCCGTGGACAGCTGTTGGAGCGGGGTGACGGGTACACTGGGGTTCTTGTTTCTCTCCACTTCTACGAATGTTTGAGATATTCCCATAACAAGAAGCTCCCAAACGATAGATAGCATCGCGATGTGCCTTGCTCAGAATAGGGTATTTAAAATAAATAAAGTAAGCTTGTACACAAAATAATTCCCCAATTTATGAGCAGGTGAGGTGTGATTCGGGGGTGTTGAGAAGGTCCTCAGCATCTTCCGGGGATGCCTGAAATGCAACAATTAACAGCTCCCTGCATGAAAAAAGATTCTCTCCGTCATGATGCACATGTTCCTGCGAGAGGAGACGGACCCGGCTTTACACGCTCAGCTGACACACTCTATCAGATCCCCTTCTGAGACCAGTTGTGGACAGGGGCAGTGTGTGCGGGATTCCTCCCGGAATCTGTGGGGGGCGGGGGCATGTTGAGGGAAGGGGTGGGGAGGACACTGGTCAGACATGGAGTCACCACACTATGTCACACTTTGCTACTTCGGTTTAGGATTTGGATCAGGCAAGAGTCCTTGCACGCAAGGGAAAAGCAGGAGTCAGGAGCAACAGCTAAGCGGTCTTAAAATGCAGCTTTATCGTTCGGGTACAGCCCGGGAGCTGACTGCTAATGAGAAGATAGTCTGTTATAGTCACTGCTCCCAAGGGGCAGGGACACCCATGCCAGAGGGGCCACAAGGAGCAGCACTGGGGTTGCTCAGGACAGAGGGAAACTTGGGCAAGAACCTTTATTTTTTTTTCCTGTGGGAAGGAACGGGTGAAGCCGGGTGAGCAGGTGTAGGACCGGCTAATGTGAGTAATTTCAGCCGGCTCTGGGACATGGGGTGTCCCTAGTTGTCTGGTCCCTGGCTCTGAGGTGGTCCCCGCCGGTGGACAGTGGCCTTGAGTGTGAGAGGCAGAACCCACGGAGGCGGGGTTTGGGCGTGGAGAGGGCGGGGCGTGGAGGGGCGGGGCGTGGGCCGTGGGTCGGTGGGTTTGCGTGTGAAAGGCGGGCTGGCCAGTGAGTTGGACGTGGTCTCTAGGAATCAGCTGTGTGAGGCCCAGTCGGCAAAGCATCAGAATAAAAAGATACGCTTAAAACATTGGCCTTTCTCTCGCTGGCCATCCCCGGTAGTTCTCTGCCCCTTGAGTGACCGGGCTCCCCACTCAGGATTCCGTGTCACCGTCCCGGGGGGCAGTCAGTGCCTGGGCGGGGCTCCTGCACAGCCCAGCCGGCCGGGAAGACGGTCCATCTTCTCTCCCGTGTTTGCTTCACTCTCCTAAATGCAACCTCGAAGGCACGGAAGCGGACAATGAAATACTTAGCCCTTCTGGCTACACACGTGTCATCAATTTTAAGACACACTTTTTTTTTTTTCAGATTTTCACGTGTCTGGTTTTCGTGTCTTGACACGGGTGCGTCTTATAGTTGCTGGTAGTTAGCCTTGACGCTCAGAACTGGAGGGAGGCAGAGACGGTTTCCCAACGGGCTGAGGCGCTCTCAGGCCTGCATGGGGCTGCCTCTGCCGCGCTCTGCAGACCTGAACTGGCCTCCCTGGGGAGGGACAGCCCTGCAGGGGGTGTGCCCTCCTACCCTGGGATGTCCCCAGTCCCGAGGGGGCTGCAGGAGCAGTTAAGACCCTTAAGCCAAAACTTGTAGCCAACTGAGGGCATTCTAGATGTGCACCCAAACTCCAGGGACGATCGGGAATGAGTCCAGGGTCTTCAGTGTCCCCAGTCTTGGGGAGCTCTCCGCCCATCTAAGTGGCCAGCCCCTCTGGGACACCTGCCAGTGCAACGTGGTGCGAGGTGTGGAGATACACGGTGAACGATGACAGCTGGCCCGTGGTCTGGCAAAGCCCTCTTGCTGAGGAGTAACGTGGGTTCATTCCAGACTGCTTTGGGAATAAGGACCCCTTGGACAATACAAGTGGCTCCTGGAGGGTCCTAGGAGATTAATTTGGTTCCCTGACTCCTCTTTCCATCTGCCTGAAGGTCTGTGGAGGTGAGGGAACTCCTGGGCTCTTCGCTCTGAAGATGGCCTTGACCTAAGAGGGTACCCAAGGCAGAGGCCGATTCACCAGGTCGGGTGGAGTTTCTGTCAATCTCCAGCCACCGCACCGCCCTCCTGCCCCCGGGCTCGCGAGCCAAAAGGTAAGAGTGAGCGACCCCCTTCCTCTACCGGAGCGAGCAGAGCCGTCTGTAACCGTCCCTGCTTCCTGGAGCACAGGCTTCACCCTCTCCGTCCGCCTCTCCCGTCTCCACACGTCCTCTTAGGTCTAAAACATGACAGAGCCTTGACCCCGACTGTCGGGAGCACCGCAGCTCCGCAGGAGCAGAGGCTGATGGGCGGCAAGGCCCGGCAGGGCAGTTTCTCAAAAGCAGGTGTTGGGCAAACTCCCTGAGGTGGGCTCTCTCTCTTCCTGGGTAACCTCCTTAGACCATCACGGACTGTTCTTTGGAATAATTCAAACTGCTTTAACCGTTTCAGCAAATGCTCCGAATACTGAAGCTAGCGTTAGGCAGAGTGAGGTGAGAAATACTGCGGTGGCATTTCTATAAACCTCTAGAAGGTTCTCTTGCTGCTCCCCAGTTCCCTGCCCTTCAGCTCCGGGACCCACAGTTGCCATACACCTCCCCCCCCCCCACCATGCCAGCTCCTCCTCTGCACACCTGACGCACCTTACTGCATTCCAAGAATGTGGCCAGGATGATCGTGGAGCTTAGTGACTTACTGGGAAACAGACACACACTGAGAAGGGTACACACCTGTGAATCAGTGAGAAGAAAACTAAGAAAAGCACCCACAAGAAGCGTAAACAAGAAAGTGGGGAAAACGAAAGCAAAAAGGCATTTTCCGAGGTGACTTCCCTGAAGATACTGAAACCCTGAAAACAGATCCTTTGTGAGAAGAGACCACTAACAGGTACTTTTAGCGGTCTCCACATTGCAGGGCAGTTTCGTAGAAATTATGTCTGCGCTCTGATACCTTCACAACTTCTAAAGAAATAGAAAAAAAACTTTAGGACTGAAGCTTGGAACTAATTTAATTATTAGTTAATAAGTGCCTCCCATGAGCCGTGTCCTGTGCTCATTACCTCTATTCCACGGAACAGTCCTGACGTGGACAATCGTACCTTCATTTTGGGGAAGAGAAAACAGGCTCAGAGAAGTCAAGGAACTTGCCTAAGTTCACACAGCTGGTTAGTGGCGGGACTAAAGACTTGAGCCCAAGTCTGCCAAGGCCATGGCAGTTGGGAACTTCAGTGGGGGAAGTTTGTCATCGTAAGCCCCTTGGTGCCAAATGCAACCTTCCCTAGATGCGTTCTGAAAAAACAAGGATGTCTCCTTTAAAGTGGGCACGATGATGGGCGCCTGGGTGGCTCGGTCGGTAAAGCCGCTGCCTTCAGCTCAGGTCATGATCCCAGGGTCCCAGGATGGAGTCCCACATCGGCTCCGTGCTCCACGGGCATCTGCATCTCCTCTCCCTCCCGCTCTGCCCACTAGTGCTCCCTCTGCGGAGTAGGTAAGTGGGGACGGTGTCACGCTTTCTCGGCAGAGGGCACCGGAGGGACATTGTGGGAGGAAGGGCAGCTGCAGTGGCCCCTGGGGACGGGGGCAGAGCTCCTCTCCTGGTGCTCTCACCGCTCTGCACAGGGGGCCCTTATCCCCTCCTCCTGGCCTCTCCCTCTCTGCCTCTCCCTCCCACTGCCTGCCTCACCCCTGCGCCTTTCTTCACGGTTGCTGGAACCCCCTTCATGTGCTTGCCTTGGAGTAAACAAGAACCACAGTGAAGCATAAGGGCAGGGAGCGGCTTCCGGAACGGCTGCGCGGCCCTTGCTCAGCTGGCCGACGGCACGGGCCGATGACAAGTCCGCCGGCTGCTTCTTGGCTGTGTCCGCCAGGAGCACCCGGCAATGGTCAGCTCCCAGAGTAGGGCTGTCCGGCCTGAGACAGAAGCCCGTGGGAGGGGGTGTGCAGCCCAAAGGCTGGCAAGCAGCTGCATGAACGAGGCCGGCCTGGGCCAGGTCACAGCTTCCTAGTTCGGACCTGCCTCGCAGCGGGTGTGTGACTGCGGCCAAGTTACGCAACCTTGAGCCCCGGTATCCACAGGTCAGACTGTGAATGAAAGGTTCTCAGTACAAATGTGTCAAAAACTCCTCTGGAATGTTTAAAAATCACTCCGATTTCCCTCCGCATGTGGGGAGGAAACAAAAAGAGGTTATGAAAATAACCTAATACTGAGGACAGTATTGTATCCCACAGCCCAAAATGTTGAGAGCTTTTATTTGTTTCTGTTAAAATTCAGTCATTCTGTGGGTGAAAAGTTCATGTCTCCTACAGAATTTTGGAAATTTCCTGCATGCTCTGCCCTCTCTCCCTGACCTCCACTTCGCAGCCGCGTTCTAGTGAGCTTGACCTAGAAGCCGCCCAGGAAAGCGAAGGGGAGCTGGCGGACTCATGTCCCGGGTGCTGCTCCGATGGTCCTGCTCTCGGATCAGTGTGCGCTCAAGTCTAGTCATAAAGGGCATTTTTAAACAGCTGCACAGCTCGAACACAAGAGGCCTTCGGAGCTCCGACCGCTCTGCTGCGTGACGCTGGGCCGCTTCTCCCTGGTACTTCTCATCTGCACAGTCACCCCGAGGGATTATCATCCTGAGATCTGAACAGCCCTGGGAGCTTCCTTCATATCCGCCCTCCCTTTCCCACTCACTGCTGCGGCCGCCTGCCTTGTGCCCATGTCCCCCCCAGGACCCCATCTCAGCCACCCTGCCCTGGGTTCTCTGAGCCTCTGCGAGAGCCAGCCTGGGGCCCACGCCCCCTCTGGTGCGATGATCCTTGGACAGCAGAGTGTCACACGCACGAGGGAAAGCTCCCTTGCTCTGCTGCCTTCTACACAGCCCCACCAGCCACTGTGCGGCTCCCCTGGAGAATGCCCCCCACTCCTTATGGGCTCTGCTTCCTTCCCTGACTCACTCTCCTCTGTCCCGGCTTCTGCTCCCTGGGATCGTGGCCCATACAAACCACTGCACAGGAGTCCCCATCCCAGGCTCTGTCCTCTGGGAGGACCGATCGGAAGTAGAGGTCAGACAAAGGGAAGAGGGGGCTTCTCTTATGACACTAATAACCAGCTCTGATACGTCATCTGGTAATCTCTGTGTTTCTACTTTGGGCTTAATAGGTTTCCAGACATTTTGCTACAAAACGATTACTACAAAATTATATATATATGATCTCAATTCTCTCACATGTACACACACACGCACGCGTGAGCACACAGACACACACACAGTGAACAAGTGATTTCTGTGATTCTAGGGAGACCTTTTTCTAGGTAACAATTACACCATAAAGACAGTAGTGGTGACAGTTTGAGTGACAGGCCAAGTGAGAAAAATCCACCCTCTGTGGTCTCCCTCATCTGGGCTCACACGGCCTCTCTAAGCCCTCCCCCCAGGTTCCCCCCTTCAGCTCTCGCTGCCCCTGCAGAAAGCATACCCACACCTAAATTCCAGCTGCCCAGAAAGCCCTTTACCTGCAGATCTAGGACCTTGAAGCCTATCTTTTGTTCCAAACGTTTCTTTCCCGATATTTAAATGTAACCTTCCTGGGGTGCCTAGCTGGCTCAGGGGGGTGGAGCAAATGACTCGACCTCGGGTTGTGAGTTCAGGCCCCATGCTGGGTGTAGAGATTACTTAAAATCTTTTTTTAAATAATAATATAAATGGAAACTTCCTGTCTTTTATCTTTAGGTTCTATAAATTAGAGGTCACTTCAAGGTCCTGAAGGGCCACTGGACGTCAGGTGGGAGGGACTGAATTAGAATTCAGTTCTGGCTCTGCCACTTGCTGACTAGGTGGCCACGGAGCAGCTCTGGGCCTCAGTTTCCATATCTGCACAAAATAAGACAGGGGCTCAGACGTTTTGCGGGCTGCTTTTGCAGCTCTACATTCTTGTGCTAATGTAATTTCCTGCTCGTGGGAAAAAAAATAAAAACTTTTTAAAAACCCATTGCTAAAAAGACCTTCCAAGTTTGGAGTTCACTCTAATGGGCTGTTGTCCCTATTTCAAAAGTAGAGCAGCTGGAAAGAAGAAAAGGAAATGTAGAATTAGCACAGTTAATAAATTCCCCAAGTCTTGTTAAATTACCACAAGACAATAAAAAAAAAAAAACATTGCCTCTGTTTACACACACACACACACACACACACACACACACACACATATTTTTGTTGATTATATGACTCCGTCACTTAACAGTCTGAAATAAGTAATGCTTCATCACATTTCTATGAATACTGATTCTTTTATCTGTGCTCGAAGACTCAGGTTCCACAAGTCTTCCTGCCATCACCAATCACTGTGCCCCCAGGGGCCTGCGGTGTCTTCACACCTTATTTTTCTTTGTTGTAAAATTTAGAATTGAGTCTCTTCCAACTATAGAAATACAGGATTTTTAAAAAAGGTTTTTTTACTTATTTACTTGACAGAGATCACAAGTAGGCAGAGAGAGAGGAGGGGAAGCAGACTCCCCGCTAAGCAGAGAGCCCGATGCGGGGCTCGATCCCAGGACCCTGGGATCACGACCCGAGCCGAAGGCAGAGGCTTTAACCCACTGAGCCACCCAGGCACCCCTAGAAATACAGGATTTTTTAAAAATCCTTTACACCTGGGAGTTATTTCATTTGAACACCACGGGAAACATTCATAGGAGGAATTTTCACTACCCCGTAGCAGATAAGAAACCAAGGGCCAGAGGTTAAGTGACTTGACCAAGGTCATACCTGAGCATCGACTTCTGGGTTTTTCAGTCTTATTTACATGCAGACTTTGCCTCTCGGATAGGAAGTCTTTTTTTTTTTTTTTTTAATTAGGCTCCGCACGCAGCACAGAGACCAAGGTGGGAGTTGAACTCACGACCCTGAGATCAAGACCTGGGCTGAGGTCAAGAGCCGATGCTTAACTGTTAGAGTCACCCAGATGCCCCTAGAAAGCCCTTTCAAAAAAAATAGTTGTATTTTGAAGATCTCTGAACTATTTGAAAAGTTGAAAGAATCGTACAATAAAAGCCCCCTACCATGCGCAGCTCACTGAGAGTCACCAATTGTTACTATCTTGCCACATTTGTTTTTCCTTTGTTTGTCACTCTTGATACATTTGCAGTTTTCACTGAGCCATCAGAAAGTAAACTGTAGCCATTCTGATTCCTCACCCCTAGCATGAGTATGTGTCTCCTTAGAAGAAGGATACGCTTCACAGCCTCAATACCGCCTCGTACCCAAGACACTGAGTGTTAGCCCGTGACACGGCCTGATAGTCTACATTCCCGTCTCCCTGGTGATTCCAAACCTGTCGCTGTGGCTTTTCTCGCCCGGATGTAGGACCCATTCCAAGTCCAGGTGCTGGATTTGGCCACTGCATCTCCTTAGCTCCTAGAATCTAGAACGAGCCACACCCCCTCGTCTTTCATGATGTTGACGTCTCTGGAGTGTCTGGACTACCTGCCCCACCATTGGATTTGCTCACTTGTTTCCTCCTAATCAGAAAACTAATTATGAAATGGAGTATTTGGGAGCAGAATTTCACAAAAAGTGATACAAATACCATCCTCTCGAATAATGGGGAGAGGGTGCTGCCTGTCGCAGTGCACACCCACGGACTCACCTTCCAGCGGGGACCAGGACGGGCAGAAGAGTGTCCCAGTGAGAAGGAGCCACCTCAATGAGCGGCCCGGGGCCTTGAAAGCAGAGGTTCTCAGACTGGGCAAAGAGTCAGAAAACTCCCCAAACAACGTACTGAGGAACCCGACAAAGGGTTGCCATCTCTTTATTTTGCCAAGACAGGACATTAAGGGAAAAAACAAAACAAAAGCAAACCCCCTACCGTCCACCATGATTTCATTCATCTACTGTCCTCTCACAGAGGTCGTTTTAACAACAAAAGGTAGGAATCACAGTCTCCAAAGGAAGATTCAGAAAAGGGTAGTTTTCTAAGGACAATAGCTGGCAATTTTCTACCAGTCCTATACACGCACATGTCTCACCTGGTCCTTCTCTTTGTTGCTTGGCTAAGACTGGGAGAGCCATGCCGGGAGGCACGAGAACTCAGAACCTCTGACCCAAAGGACCTCCCGGGAGCTAGACGATTAGTGATACGTGTGATCGCTCTGCCGCTGTCATTTGTCCCCCTCGTGCCAGATGTGCCGTCTCAGGGACAGTGGAGGCGGCGGGAAAGGCCAGTCTGGGCCACCTGTAACAGGACACCATGAACCAAGGCACCTTCTGGACTCGGGGGCCCCTTTGCCCCTCCTCTTTCTTACCTTCCCCTCCGGAGCCTAGTGGCGCGTCCTGAGAGGAGCTGTGGGCCTGGGGACATTGGCCCCTTCTCAGCCGGGCCACCTCCTGGCTGCTGCTTTCTAGTGTCTGGGCCAGATCGTCGTTCTCCTGCCCCAGCCGCCTCTTCTCTTCCTCCAGAGCTGCCTTGTCGCGGAGGAGGTTGCCATAGGCCACCTCCAGCTCCCTGACTTGGGTTTCCAGCTGTTCTCTGTCCCTTCTCAGGGCGTCCAGCTCCCCCTGCAGCCCCTCCTGGCCGTCTGAGGGCCCGGCCGCCTGGCCCGAGGTCAGCCGGCGGAGGAGGCCCTCCAGGGAGCTGAGGCGGGCTTTGGCGACCTCCAGGTCGGCCCGCTGGGCGCTGCTGTCTCTCTGCAGGTGCCGGATGGCGGACGCCACCTGGCCCTGCTCGGGGCAGCTGGGCTCGGTGGGGCTGGCCACGCTGAAGGTGTACTGGCCGTGGCCGCTGCGGTCATCGGCCTTCTGCAGCTGGGCCGTCCTGGCCTCAAAAGCCCACACGAGGCAGGCCAGAAGGAGCAGCTGGAAGGCGGCCATGGTGCACCTGCGGTGGCAGTGATGCCTGCGGTGCCAGTGACGTGCACAGATGCCGTTGGGGTGGGCAGTGATTTTCCTGCCTTCAGTTTTTCCCCGGGAAAGCTCTCCGGCCCTGCCCGGCACCTGGGTGGTTGGCCCTGCGGGGTCACGCACAGAGGCTGCACCGCGCTCTCTATACTGCAGAGCCAGCCCTGCGCGGGGGGAGCAGGGGGAGGCCACGTGAGGCGAGGTGGGGCCACGCACAGGGGAATTGTTTGCTCATGGCCAGGAAACATCTTAGAATATGACATTCCAGAAATCTGTTTTGAATTTCTTTTAAAAAACGTCTCCCTCTATGCACCCATACCCCTACGATCGTCCCTGTACCCCCACCCTATTTTGGGGCACACGTTCACGCAGGGTCCACTTCACCCAACATGACCACACGCGTGTCTCCCCCACCAAGGATTCATTTCCATTTACTCTGCAAACTTCACTGAGACCTGATTCCGTATCATGGACTGTGCTAGAAACCGAGGGTGCAGACATTCCTAAGACACAGTCCCTCTGTCCCTGTGGCAGTGACAAGTAACCGTCAGCCAGAACACAGGGGTGGCATGCCACCAGGCTTCGGGAGCAGCAATCCTGTAGAAACAGCTGGAAGCAGAATTCTCCCCTTGCCGCCTGCTTTAAAACAAGCGTGGGTGTGTATTTGGGAGGACTTACTAATTCCAGTCCCCGAATATCAGTCACCCTTGTCAGTGATAGCCTCTAGGCTAACTCTTACCAGGTATGTGAATGTGTGTGTGAGTGTGTCTGTGAGTGTGTGTGTGTGCACGCAAAAGGGCCTTTATCATCATGGATGAAATTTGTGGGACGCTTCTCAGGAATATGTTTTCAAATATAGAAAATATATATGACTGCAAAGGAAGCAAATGATATTGAAATACTATTATCAAAATATTTTTAGATTTTGAACTATGTATGTCCTTCCTCATTAATACTTTAAATCAACTAATTTATTAAATTAGGCTCCACACCCAACATGGGGCTTGAACTCATGAACCTGAGACCTAGAGTCTCATGCTCTACCAGTGAGCCAGCCAGGCATCCCACCTTTATTAACATTTTAGAAACAAAATCTTTAGGTACTTTAAAAATGGGGACGGATGCCTAATTTCTAAGTAGTGTGAGCATAAGTGCTATTTATCTGCACCAAGCAAATGTAACATAAAATGTCTGTGATTACTATGGGTAGCAACAAAGTCACAGGTCCTGCTAATACAGCTTGGGGTTTATGGCTATTTTCGTAACAGAATGAAATGTTAAACCTAAAATTTAGTTAGAAGGTGCTGAAAATAAAGATGCAATTTTTTTTCATATCCAAATTCCCGGGCTTTCTGGAGCCTCGTTTAACAATCCCTGCTTTACATGAATAAACCTGAAGAGGAAACAAATAAACAAATAACAAATTAAAAAAAAAAACAACTCCCAAATATGCCAAGAGGAGGTCTGTGCAAATCAGAATGTGTGTAACAGCCTCGCCAGTAACTTTTAAAATACTGTTTGCGTTTGAGTAATTTATGTCGTCTGATATGAAAAACATCCTCCATCTCTGTGAAGTAAATATTTCCGATGTGCCCCAGAGGACTCACCTTGTGTTTGGGGAAACAGGCTTTTGCTCTAAAGGTTCTATTCTTCCTTGGTTCTAAAGGTAGACTTGACCTTGAGACATTTACAAATGGCCGTTTACTGCTGACCAAGGGGTCCTGTTCTCAGCTCCTGAATCAGATAACAAACATTACCGAGATGATTTTGTGAAATCTCTTCTAGGCGGCAAGAACTGGCTCAAATCCGTTTGGCTTCACCCTCAGGAACGTTTTCCTTCTGTTAAGAGGACTACGTGAGATTGTTGCTGTGCCTCGGGCCCCACAGAGGAAAGGAGTCCCAGATAAAGAGAAAGGTGAGTGATTTTCCTGCCTTCAGTTTGCTCAGAATCACCCTGCTCGTCAAGGAAGAATCCAGGACTTGGGTCCGGTGTTCTCACTTCCCCTGGACTGGGTTCCTTTCTGGGGCCCAGCGCCACCTGGGACAACCAGGAGCTCCGGGCCCGTAAATCGGCTCAGTCCCCACGAGGCTGTGCACACCTTCGCCTTCCTCGCCCACGCTCCGTCCCTCTCCGTCCCTCTGTCTACCCTGAGCTGCAGGCCCTCTGTGGCAGTCACTGTCGGATGCCCCCACACCCCCATCGGTGCCAGTGGGGAATGAAGGTGTTTTCACTTGGTTCAACCCAGGTCTTGTCTGCTGGGCGAGAGCTACCCACCCGTTATTTTCAACGTTCTTCATGGTTCCCCGCAAATGCTCGGGAAAAGAAGACATCGCTATTGGGTTCATGGAGCTTTCTTCAATCCTTGTGACTCGCCATCCCTTCTCCCCGGGAGCCTGACGGGGTGAGGACTGACGAGCTCCCACATTCCACCTTCCTTTGCTGACCCCCCATCACCACCCACTTGAGTCCACGGCTTGAGCTCCACCTGCTGCCCACCTCCCCATCCCCCTCTCAAAGCCTTCGTGGGACTAGAGCCACAAGGACGCTTGCAGGCCCAGACAAGGAGAGGATGTGCCCGGGGTCACACAGCCAACGAGTGGCAGAGAGCCAGAAAGAAAACCGAGTCTTCTGATGCTGAGGTTTTCCCACCTTCTCGCTCAAGCCGAGTCCCCCCCAAGGACATGAGAAGTCCAGGAGCTGACACTCTGGGAAATGAGCTTGCTTCCTACATTCCCGTTAAATGAAGGCCTTCAGTGAGGGAAAACTCATACACAGCCTTTGCTTCTTACAGCCGATGTTCCGGAACTGCAGCCTTTCATCACACAGAATTACTCTCCTCGGCAGAGGGCTCGGGGAGGACACAGCAGACTCCCAGCCCCATGAGCAGCAATAGGCACCCGCGTGCTTCCTCCCACTCTCCACCCTCCTGCCAGTCACCACCCCCTCCGGGCCGGCGCCCCTGCTCCCCAGGGTCTCCACCTTCCGGAATTTGCCTGGACGGGGAGCCCCGTTTCCCTCGGAGGAAACACGGTCCACTCCAGATTCGCTGTTAGACTGTGTTCCACGGCCATTTCCTTTCTGGAGCCTGGAGCCAGGGAGTCTCCAGCTCAGAAGCCGTTGGGAGCCAAGAAGACGCTCGCGGGGTGTGTCAGTCCAGGGCAGAGTTGTGCCTGTGGCTGCACCTGGCCTGGAAGGTGCCTCGGGGCCTCCTGCGCAGGATGGGAGCAGCAGGGGGCACTAGGGAGCAGCAGTAATACGCATCCGTGAGTCTCGTCCGTTCAAGGTTGTTTCTGTTCGCTCAGTGTAGGGTGTAAGCCGGCTGGCTACTGACTTCTCCGGCAGTTCCCCATGGGAAAATGTAACCCCGTGAGGGCAGGGCTGTGGTCACTGTCCATTTCGTCCCCAGTGACTGGCAGGTACAAGCGCTCACATTTTCAGGAGGTGCACGGGTGGATATGTAATTGAAGCAGAAAGAGAAAGCAAAAGGGCCCTAAGGAGGGAAAACCAAGCCAATGGCCCGTCTTGGACGCTGCTCAGGGCACTCTGGGGACCTCCCTCTGTGTCTTGGGTGGCGGCAGGGCTCTCCTGGCTGGAGAGGGAGTTCTGCTGGGGGCGCACTCCCCACCGCCAAATGCACACACATAGCCTCAAACGGGATCGCCGCATGTATGCCTTTATTTCATTACAGATCGGGAGGCTTCCGGCAAGACCTGGTGAACTGAAATGGTAACTTAAGAGCATGGAGACGAGGACCAGGGAAGGGGCGGTGGAGAAGAGGCAGCCTCTCCTCCGTGTCCTGCCGGCCTGTCATCCAGGGGATTCGTCATTCAGCATCCTGAAGAAGCTGTCAAGCTGTGGCTACAGGTAAGCCTCTTCCGGGAACCTCAGTGCTGGAGAAGCCCCGGGGAGGGAGACTTCCTCCGGAGCAGGAAACGCTTCACAAGGGAGATGGCATTTGTAATGGGACCCAATGAGATGACATGACAATGGCTGCCCACATGCTTCCGGGCCTGCCTTGAGGTCTGGTGTTCAGGCCGTGTCCAGTGACAAGGTGTGGATCAGATTAACCACACCTCTTTCCTTTGTTGCCCCCCACCCGGAGCAGAAGGGAAGGGGAGGGAGGGTCTTAAGCCAGAGAGCCCTGCACGATCTCTTCATCCGGCGCCGGCCCCCGGGGTTGTCCAGGTCCTGGGCACTGGGGTATCTTCTTACTGTCAGGAGAGAGACTTGCAAGGGCAGGACCCGTGTCGCCCAGAAGCATGTTGCACCCCGAGAGGGAGGTGTTTAGGGGGCGGAATGGATGTCGTGACAGCCCGCCCCGAGTTGTCCTGAGAGCTGCAAACATCATGCCAGCATCCAATTAAAGTCCAACCACACTTAAATCATCATAAGGATGTTGTGGGCAATGTTTGCCCCACAGATTCTACCGCTAGTCCCATGGACATCGCAGGGCCTCATGATACGGCGTGCTGGGCTGATTTTCTGCCAGTTGTTGGCAGGTGGGCTTTCCACAGGGTCTTAGTTAGTGATCGTGGTGTGGGGGTGGGAGGTACGGAGAGATAAGGGGAGGCACAGACCCTGCACTTGGAGGAGTTCCGTGTCTGAAGGCTCTTAGCAGTCTCCGGTCTCTTATCGCGAAAAGATGGGGATTAGCTCTCTGAAACCTGAATAAGAATGACAATGCCTCCAGTAACTCAATAAAGTAAAAGGAAACACAGAGAGAAAAAATGAGATTCATTCAAAAGACCAAAGAAGAGCCCGGTCAGAGAAAGCGCATCAGGGCTGCCTCACGGTCGGGGGGAAGGGGGGCTGGCCCGGGTTATGCTGGAAGAGCTAGGGTTGGGGGACAGTGATTGCCACCTATCAGGGGCTGGGACACTGTAACCTTGTATGCCTGACTCTACAAAATTGTTACCCATCTTTAAATTGATGTAGTCTGTATTTATTTTATTCTTAAAATGATCAAAATGAA